GTCAACATTCCTGGGGACGCGGTGTCTTAGGGCGCCCTCTGTGGAATTCGGGCCCAGCCCCCAGAGCTGTGTCCCCCTCAGCTGTGCCCGTCTTGGGGAACAAATGGCACCCCCACCTACCCCTCCCCAGCGGAGGCCAGAAGTCAGGAAATCAGTCCTGATTTCAATCTTCTTACGGCTCCCTGGCCTCCTCCAACCCCAGGGAGTCCTGTCCTTGTCGCCGGCCGTTGCCATCTCGCCTCGGGAGACACACCAGTCACCCATGGCCTCCTGGCTTCTCTTGTCCCTACAAACCCTTCTCCACGAAGCAGCAGCGGGAGGTTTTGGGGGTTTCGTTTGTTTGTTTGTTTGTTTGTTTTTAACATACTTTTATTGGTTTCTGAGAGGAAGGGAGAGTGAGAGAGATAGAAACATCAATGATGAGAGAGAATCATTGATCCGTTGTCTCTTGCACGACCCCTACTGGGGATCGAGCCTGCAACCCGGGCGTGTGCCCTCACTGGGAATTGAACCTGGACCTCCGGATTCATAGGTAGATGCTCAACCACTGAGCCACACCGGCTGGACTGTTTGTTTATTTTTTTAAGGAACAAACACCAGACCATGAGATGCTGCTCCAAAGGCTCAATTTGCTTTCCATCCAAGTTCAAAATTCCTACAAGGCCCTACAGCAGCAGTTCTCAAAGTGTGGTCCGGGGAACCCCAGGAGGTCTCGAGACCCTTTTGGGGTTCAGCCAACCCAAAGTGCCGTGGAACCTCGGTTCTCAAAGTTAATTCGTCCCAGAAGGCGGTTTGACAGCCGAATCATTCTTCCCATTAGGAACAATGTACATTGAATTAATTAGTTCCAGACCCCAAATGAGTCCCTGTTTTAACCTTTCTTACACACAGTACATATCTAATGTACTGGTTAATTGAGAAATAAACACTTTAAAAATGAAAAGGACATGAAATATGAATGAACATTTAACAGAAAGGAAAGGAAACGTGCAGTAAAAAGGGAAAATCTAATCATAAGCTGAAACAAGAGCCAAAAACACCCACGAAAATATTCACAATACAATTTCCTGGCTGGCAGACGCGCATTCTCTCGCTTGCTTGTCGCCTGGGAGACGTGACTGATCACACAGGTATCAGCACGAAAGGGGAGTTGGGGTGAGAAGTAAACTGTTCAGATGGGAAGCCTTGCAGAGCAACCCGAGGTGTGACTGTATTTGAATAATAATAATAAGATGCTTTTTTCCTTTTTTTACTTTTCATTTCCTCCCGAGCGGATGGTGGAGTTTTTTTTCAAGGCTACAAGATAGGGGAAGCCAGGCAGCAAAGAGATTTGCAAAAATGTAGGACAGGGATCCTGTCCTTACTTTTTTTGTTTCAAAAATAGTTAATTTTCGCCCGGCCCATGTGGCTCAGTGGTTGAGTGTTGACCTATGAACCAGGAGGTCAGGGTTCGATTCCCGGTCAGGGCACATGCCCGGGTGGCAGGCTCCATCCCCAATGTGGGGTGTGCAGGAGGCAGCCGATCCATGATTCTCTCTCATCATTGATGTTTCTGTCTCTCTCTCTACATCTCCCTTCCTCTCTGAAATCAATAAAGATATATTTTTTTAAAAATAGTTAATTTTCATGAGACATGTTACTTGGGTTGCCTGATGTTTGTTGTTGCTTTAAATGATCGTATAATATTAATTATTGATATTTATTGATATAAATTAACATGACCAATAACCTACTGATAACATTTCTAATAAATGACTACTTAACAATTATGTAACCATTCGTTACTGGTGCGTTAATATCATGTGACAAACATTAAACATTGTCTCTGTTTTGAATTCTAATATGGTCAGCACAGACACAGTCCATGTGCAGACAACTTCTTTGGGGTCCTCAGTAATTTCTAAGAGTGTAATGAAGCCCTAGCCAGCTTGGCCCAGTGGACAGAGTGTCGGCCTGCGGACTGAAGGGTCCCGGGTTCGATTCCGGCCAAGGGCACATGCCTGGGTTGCGAGCTTGGTCACCAGTGAGGGGTGTTCAGGAGGCAGCCAATCAATGATTCTCTCTCATCATTGATGTTTCTGTCTCTCTCTCCTTCTCCCTTCCTCTCTGAAATCAATAAAGAAATATATTTTAAAAAAAAATAAGAGTGTACTGGGGTGCTGAGAATGGAAGGTTTGAGAAGCACTGCTCTGCCTGACTCGGCTGCTCCGGCTTCCTCGCCTGCCTTCCTGGCTTTACCAGATGCCACTCATCCCCCACCCCAGGGCCTTTGCACATGCCACTCTCTGCCTGGAACTCTGGCCTGGGCTCCCTGCAGCCGGCTCCCTCAGCTTCCTTTTGCGGTCACCCCCTCACATAGGCCATCCTCTGGGAAGCAGGTGCCCCCACTGCCACCATCCAGTTATTTTCTGTCTTCAACCTTTATCGTTTTGTTCACAACACTTATCACAATTCATTATTATTTTACTGATATGTTGGTTGGTTTGTCCTGTCTCTTTCCATCAGACGGGGAGCTCCGGGCGGGCCGGGGCCTTGCCTGGGCCTCTGTCCTCCGCGCTGGCACAACATGCTCACAAACACTCAAGAAATATTTGGAGGACCAACCCATGCTGGCGGACCTCTGAGCCGCAGTCTCGTACGTTATCAAAAAGCAAACAAGGAGGGCAGAGTCATGAGCACACTACATCCTATTTTAAATAGGAAGCTAAAGAATGGCATGTATGTGCTTACACGAAAACAATGTCTCTAGGAAAAGGCCCAGAAACCAATCGTGGGGCGGGCGGAGCCCTGAGAGCTGGGGGCAGGGGTGGGAGGGAGGGTGTCTGACAAACGTGAATGCTTTACCATGAGCTGGTCTCAACTGTTGGCTTGAAAACACTTATTAAGTGAATCATACGTTTAGAATGTTAGCAATTCTCTGGTGAGTCTGGCTGGTTCTGCACACACACACACACACACACACACACACACACACACACACACACCGTGTCCTCCGGCCACCCTGGGCTCCTGTTCAAGCAGGTTCCTTCCTCGGGGCCTTTGCACTTGCTGTTCCCTCTGCCTGGTATGGTCCCCCCAGATCTCCACTCAGCTCCCCTTCCCCTCCTCCAGGCCCCTCCTCAAATATCACCTCCTCGGGGAGACCTTCCCTAACGCCCCTTAAACAGCCTCTCACCCATGTCTCTGTCCTCTGCCTCATTTTTCTTCAAAATCCTTATCACATACGATATCACAGATTCATTTCATATCCACTTCCCCATTAAAAGGTAATTCTAGCCCTGGCTGGTTTGGCTCAGTGGATAGAGTGTTGGCCTGCGGACCTAAGGGTCCTGGGTTCGATTCCAGTCAAGTGCACATGCCCGGATTGTGGGCTCCATCCCCAGATGGGGGCGTGTAGGAGGCAGCCGATCAATTTTTCTATCTCCCTCTCCCTTCCTCTCTAAAATCAATAAAAATAACTTTTTAAAAAAAAGTAATTCAGCAAGGAAAGGCTATCCGGCTTGCTCGCTGCTGTGTCTCCAGGGCCTAGAACAGCGAGGGGGCAGGTCAGTAGTAACAGGCAGTAACTGTTGGTTAAGTGCACGTCACTGGGCGGCTCAGAGCAGCTCGGTATGAAGGTCCAGGGCGTTTTGCCTCGCTAGACTCAGACCTCCCAAGACCTTGGCCTCAAGTATCACAGCGCAGCTCCCCCCTGGCGGAAGGGCAGAGCCGGGGGACTCATCCGCACCCTGCCTCTGAAGTGGGGGGGCGGTAGGGGAGGGGGGAGGCTGCCAAAAAGAGTCCAGAAGGGCTTTGCACCCTTGGGGGGGGAGGACTTTTCTTTTTTTTAAATCCCCATCTGAGGATATTTTCCCATTGATTTTTAGAGAGAGGGAAAGACAGAGAGAAACATCGATGTGAACGCACCCCACCAGGCCTGAGCCGGGGAGGAGCCTGCAACCAAGGTACGTGCCCTTGACCGGAATCGAACCCGGGACCCTTCGGTCCACAGGCGGACGCTCTATCTACTGAGCCAAACCGGCTAGGACGAGAGCATTTGATTTGATTTGATTTGATTGATTGATTTTAGAGAGAGAGGAAGGGAGAGAGAGATCGATCTGCTGTTGCACTTATTCCGCATGTATTGGCTGACGCTTGTCTGTGTCCTGATGGGAGATGGGACCCGCGGCCTTGGTGCATCAGGACGATGCTCTGACTGAGCTACCCGGCCGCGTTAGATGATGGGACTGACTGTGACAGAAGCACACGTGGGGCGTGAGCAGGTGACGGGGCAGGGGCGGGGCTTGGTCACTTATTGATTGATTTTAGAGAGAGAGGAAGGGAGAGAGAGGTCGATCTGCGGTTGCACTTATTCCGCATGCATTGGCTGACGCTTGTCCGTGTCCTGACGGGAGATGGGACCCGTGGCCTTGGTGCATCAGGACGATGCTCTGACTGACTGAGCTACCGGGCCAGGCGACCGCACGTTAGATGATGGGACTGACTGTGGCAGAAGCACACGTGGGGCGTGCGCAGGTGACGGGGCAGGGGCGGGGCTTGGTCACAGTGGACCCTGGGCCTGGCACAGCACTGGGGAGCCACGGATGGATCTGCAGGAGGGAGGTGAGAGGGGCCAATCAGGGCAGGGGTGTGGCTCTCTGTGGGCGTGGCCT